TACCTTACAATGAATCATGCTCTTTAGATCTTGCTGCTACTACTTTAACAAATTGTGCATACCTTACAATGAATCATGCTCTTTAGATCTTGCTGCTACTACTTTAACAAATTGTGCATACCTTACAATGAATCATGCTCTTTAGATCTTGCTGCTACTACTTTAACAAATTGTGCATACCTTACAATGAATCATGCTCTTTAGATCTTGCTGCTACTACTTTAACAAATTGTGCATACCTTACAATGAATCATGCTCTTTAGATCTTGCTGCTACTACTTTAACAAATTGGCTTGAACAACTGATTCATTTTGTTTAATGAGATGTTTACATACCTCTTAAGTTTAATTTCAGGGTACATCTAACCAAAGTTTGCCATTTGGCAATGACTTCTGCATGCCAATTGCAGTAATCTTTAGTGAATATGTTTGTAAAATGTTATTTACATCATTTTGTCTGTGACGGTGATTCTTCATGGACTCCCTAATAGGTGAGTTATTCTCTGTTTCCTGCTTAGCTAACATATGTGGACCCACACTGCTGTTGTGCATGGTAATCCAGCTATTTCTACAAGGTCCAAAACCCTTTTTAAAAATGACAGGGGAATCTGCTTGGAGTTTTGGAAATAAAGAAATGTCTATTTTATAATATGAGACAGTATTTGAATGGATTTGTCCAGTCTGGCATCTTGCATATAACATATACCTCTATGATTGTCAGATGGGGATGCCCTATCTGTTGGCTGATGGTGCCTTGGAGGATACTTTTCCCACCTATAAGTGCATGTCCTTGTATAGCATTTGAGACATCAAAGAGAAGAAGACCATTGCCCATATAATTTCTCATAGCTCCAACTAGGATGAGGAACACCTTACTACTATATGTTTATCTTTTTTAACCTATTTAGTGATCCCATTACTTGTCCTTAGGTTTTAGAGTTCATCCTTGGATCTGCCTTGGTCTTTTAGGTTCTCCCCTGAGTGTCTGCAGACTGGGCCAATTTTATAAATTTTCTGGCCTTGTCGGATGTAGATGCAAGGAGTCTTAGCCTGAGAAGCATGTCCATTCTTTAGCTATTACTGGTTTCCTTAACAAGTAATCTTCCATTAAAGGTACATAATAGTGCATTGTGATCTGACCCTGACTACCTGTTATGATGGTTCCACAAATGAATACATACTGCTGGACTTTCCCTTTTTATACATTTAGAGGATGATGAGGAAAAGGACTTCCTTGCCCTCATCACCTTGTAAGTAAGAAGAACACATTTTTTGAATCTCCTTATTTGGTCTAGTCTCTTATTAGACTGGTCCACTCCACTTGTTTTCCCATGAATCCAGTCCATTTGCTCTTGTTCTGGATACCCTTCAGTTTTGCATAATGTTTGGTCTAAGTATTTACCTGTCTAAGATTCCATGTTTTTGGTGAACCACTGGCCCTTTTGACTCCCTCAATTTCATTGTGGATTGTCTGGCTTTTCTATTACAGAGGTAAATCTGCCCATTTTGAATTTTACATTTTAGAATTAAAATTATTTCAAACAGGTACTTACCTCTGAAGTAAATAGATTCCCACCCATTTCACCACATGCATGATGACTTGGCCCGGCATGGCCATGTGGTTAGGGTGCTTGACTCTCAAGCTGAGGGTCGCAGGTTTGAATCCCCGTCTCACCAAACGTGCTCGCCCTTTCAGCTGTGGGGGCATTATATAGTGATGGCCAATCCCACTACTCATTGGTAGAAAAGTAACCCAAGAGTTGGTGGTGGGTAGTGATGACTACTTTCCTTCCCTCTAGTCTTTCACTGCTAAATTAGGAACAACTAGCACAGATAGCCCTCGTGTAGCTTTGCGTGAAATTCAAACCAAACCATGATGACTGCAATTATAAAATCTGGATTATGGGAAGAAAGCACAACTTGTATACATCATCCTGACATGAACATAATAAGTCACATGGAAGAGGGTAGTGGAGAACTATAGGTAATTTCCCACGTACCCTGCATTGTGTCGAGGACATTCAGAATTTGTCACATATTTACAGACAGCATGAGAACAAGTCAGAGTGAATTACTTTTTAGTAAATCATTTTAATTCTAGAAATATCTGTTTTACAATTATTATTAAATAATGTTTTTCATATGTGACACGTTGCTCTTCTGTTTAAACAAGTTATTAATCTGTTATTACTTTTTGATACTAAAAAATGTTTAGTTTTTTGCACATCATATAAAAGATTAACTTCAAAAACATTTTATAAAAGAATAAAAAAAGACAGTGGTCATACCGATAATTACACAGCCAAGTGCTATCACAAAAGCCAAAACGTAGGCTCGGCGTGGTTCCTGGTTATTCCCATATCCTTTTGCAAAAAACTCAAATTTTGGGAAAATTTTGTCTTTGCATAAAGCCTGCAACAATAATGCCAGTATTACCAAAGAAGCATTACTAGCATTAAAGATCACAAATTCTACCTCGTGTAAAAGAAATGTTTACATAAGGCAATATATGAGCATTTTATACGCCAAACATTTTATTATGTATAACAATAAGTTAATAAAACAATAAGTTGCAATGCTTGTAGTTCAGTAAAGTCAGTCGATTATTAAAACCTAATGTATTTTTCTAGTTGTATCTGTTCATATAATGCTCTTTACAGAAGGAATGAAACTCGCACACACAAATGTTCCGGTCAGTTTCCTCTTTGCCATTTTTATCTTTTTTTTAAATATGTATCGTTGACAAAGAGTGGAAAATGTACGTTTTTTTTTTTTTTCTACAAACAACTTAGTTGTTAGAAAGCCTTTTTCTTGAATAATGATGGTCATTTTAGCACGAGAAACCATATATGGCTATAAACAAAAGATTTTAGGGTATGAAATTTTATTTCGGGTTTTTTTATTTTCAGTAAATTGTAAATTTCAGCTAATAAGCTTGCTGTACTTCTATTTGTATTTATATAAACTGTAAATAGAACTTTTTTTTCTAGGGGATCTAAATATAATAGCTCCTATTATATCAAACTTCTTCCTTGCTGCATATTGTTTGATTAACTTCTCCTGTTTTCATTCCACATATTCTATGTCTCCAGGTAAGTTCCAACTGTTTAAAGTTGTGTCATACTGTAAGTCCACTATTCTATTTAAAACTCCTTACAGTGATCCTGCTGTTTGATACTTTTTATAGTAGATACATCAATAATTGTTTTTGTTTTTAGAATCTCGTAATATTTACTTATTTAATTTTTATAGTATCAATTAAGCAAGCATAACAACCTGCTGATAGGTGTTTTTTGTGCATAACCTTCGATACTGGAAAACATACATTAAAATTACTTGTAAGTCAAAACTAGATACATAAATATTTCTTTTTGTTTTTTTTTAATTTCCTAGTATTTATTTATTTAATTTTTATAGTATCAATTAAGCAAGCATAACAACCTGCTGATAGGTGTTTTTTGTGCATAACCTTCGATACTGGAAAACACATATTAATGTGCTTGTGAAGCAAAACTTACATTTATGTTATTTTGTATTTTAAATTTAAACTAGAGATTTACATGTCGTTCTCGATGCTCTAAACAATAATATACTTTCTAAAATTACTATACCTAGGTCTTTATACAAGTATTAAAACACAGGACATAAAGTTAAAAATACTTGCTATGTAAAACTGACAAACACTTTATTTTAGTTATATTTTTAAAAGTTTTGCACTCCTAGTGTAACATATATTCCTCATTTATGGTCTAAGAGTTACAAGAACAATCTCTATGATTTAAAGGGACAGGCTCAAGGCTGAGAAAAGTATTATTTGAACATTTGAGGTATTATGAGAAAGGTTTTGAGATGCCTACCATTGCAGTCTTATGGATTTATTTGGGTCTCGCTGGCCTTTTTGTTTATACATATATGTATGTATATGTGAGTCCAGGGCTGGAGAACGGGACATTGAAACATTGGTTTATAAATGCCTAAATTCATCAGTATATTTCAATCCTTGGCATTTAAACAGATTTAAAAGATTTTCAATTAAACTTACTCTTTTTATACATTTATGTAACAAAATATTAACCATTTTGTGAATATAGTGAGAAAAGTTTAACATAAAAGGTTTAAATGTTTGATATGGATTAGATATTACTTCCTTTACTTGCCCTAGTTAATGTGTATTTATAAGGTATTTGAAGAATATATAGCATTAAAACTTTTAATTAATTTTTCACATTAATGCTATCTATTCATCAAATTAATTTATTTTTATAAACTCCTTACCGAAAAAGGTCTTCAGTCTTCATTATAATTGCAAATAACAGCAAGTAAGAGATGAGATATTTCTGCAGTTTACTGTATAGTTGCCTATTAATGCATGTGTAAATGAATATAATGATAGATGATGGAATGGAGAGCTGCTAACTTGAGACAT